ACCACGAAAAGAAAAACGTAATATATATATATATATATATATATTATATATATAGGGGAAAACTCGCGGGCATTTCAAATATCCTACTTTATCTTAGGATATGTATGTGTTCATAAGATTGTTCAAATATCGGGCCTTACATGCAGTATGGAAACGCATAAACTCAAATCACTAATTCTAGTCATGTTAAGAGTACCTCACCTAGAAGGTCCGAGAGTAATAGTAGTTACAATAACACCTTTCCATTGATGTTAAATAATAACTAAGTCCAACGGAAAATAGTATTACAAGAACCTTAGTTCTAGTGAACACTTGTTTACTTATGTTTTACACAAAATTTTGGGAATATTTTATTTTTATACAAAGTAACAGTATCGATATACTTAACTTTATTTAAAAAACAAAAAAATATGCTATAACAACTAAAAAGCAGTTGGGGGGTAAGAGACATGAGAAAAAAAATCACTCGATTTGTTTAGAATTACAAAATTCAGGAGGTTCAACTCAAACTGGTAAACATCGTTGTTGCTCGTTAAATAGAGCATGTTACTATAAAACTGATATACAAGTCTAGAAACTATAATGTTTCATCATCACAACAACTCAGTTTGATCAGTCATAGAGGAGACAAACACGCGAATAATTACCGGACAAGTTATAGTTTTTCCCCCCGCATATAACAAAAATCCCAGCAGAAAAATACAATGATAAGGATATTTATGATAACATCAGTCCCGTTTGTACCATTCTATGTTACAACCGGGTTTATGTTTATTAAAATAGTTTATCTCGAAATGTATTGTTACGACAGCGGAGGTCACGTGACGCTAGTAACACGTCATGTGCTTCTAGAACGTTCATGTCCCTTCCTGAAGTGTCGCGAGGTTACTGGATATGCGGTATTCTTGTATATATAAGACCGCTAAGAAGTGACGGCAACAATGTAATGTAATTGTACTGCGGACAGAGAGAGAGACTTATCGTTGGGTCGAGTGCGTGTGACGTTCGTTGTGAATTATAGCGTTTGTTTAACTTATAGTGTGACCGTTGAAATTAAGTGAATTTCAAAGTTGTATTGAGAAAGAATAAACTAGTTTTATTTAAGAAAGGACTTGTGTCGCTAAAGTTTCATTGGAAAGAAATTATACGGGAAGTTAACTAACGACCAGAGACGTAACAGTATTATAATACTCAATCGAACTTTGAAAAAGAGCAAGATAATCTATCCGCTTTTACTGCAAAATTAGGTCATTTGCTAACGTGTCACCACAGAAACATTCTTAAACAGTGGCTGTTAAATAGTTCAAAAACAGACTGACTAATAAGCATACCGGATATACAGATAATTTGGGCAATTACGTATTTTCCCACGAATACTATAAAATATTGTACGAGTCCTGTTCATCACGATTTCCTTCTTCATCAAGTTCAACAACGAGTCTTCATTATTTTTAAAGTTTTCTCTCTCTATCTATAAAAATCTCTTCGTTGAAAAAAATACCGATATTACTTGATTGTTAGTGGTTTTAAAGGAGGTAAAAACGTTTTTAATAAATTATATTCTAATAATTTACATGTCATGACTCACGAGTTCTCAATTATGTTTACTTTCGGTTGAAAAGTTTCAATGGCCATAGCCTCTTTGATCTTAAAGTTCTTTCATATTTTGCTTTGAAGAGAATTTCGAATTGTTAAAGTTAATATAAGAGTCACACTCCATAGCATGCTGTAAAACATGCGAGTTGATCTAGATGGAAGAATTGTTCTAAATTCCTTTGCCGGAAACATCTGGTACTGAACCTACCAATGTAGCCACTCATGCAGAGAGAAAATGTATATTTATAAACGACCAGGTTTTGTTGCATTACATTGATTTTGTTCTTGAAAATTGAATGGGAAGAAGTTTCTTAGCCGAAAGACGTTCCTAAGGTGTATTTGAGGAAAGGCCCTATTAAATAACTGCACACTTTTATACCTTAATAACATCGACTTATTACCTTTGTTCTCATCCATACTTAGTTTTTCTTCCAAAAATTTGTCCATCAGTAATATTTGTGATAAACTAGTATTGTGTTTTATTAGCATTCTTAATTTAAAATTAAACGACATAATATGAAACAACAAACAAACATAGACTGTCAAATTCACTTACCAGGCCAAACAATAGATATATATCCGAAAGTACATGCTCCTAGTCACACGACGATGACAAAAGCCAGACATTCAAATTCATACATGAAATATAACTACGAAAGACTAAACTAAACATTATACCAGCACAACCGTGTCAAAACCCACGTGGTTCATGATAACGGGAAAGTATTTCGTAGAAATGTTCACGTGCAGTGACGGCGACAAACTTGGACTAATGCCAAGGTCCGCTCGCGAAATGGTTTTAAAGAACACGAGGTAAAGTGGCACACATAATAGGCTACAAACAGACACCTACGTGCGCCGGAAGTTCGACAGGAACTGACTGTGTCACGCGCCTTGTGGCACTGCCCATCCGTGGTGAGTAAATGGCGCACTTTCTCAATCCGCCCACGCGACGAGAGAATACAAAGTTTTTTTTATTTTATCCTTTTTTAAATTCTGTTTTTAATAAATCATATGTACAAAATCGTATACATTTTCCGTCAAGACTAAGGCACAATTGCACAATCTTGTGTCAATGTTTAAATTAAATTATCATTAACTTCTAATCAAAAGACATCGGTCTTAGTAACATTTTATACGCCAGCTCGTTTGATGTTCTTTTCACTACCTCTTCAGCACAGAATTACAACAGGAAATCCCTTCCTTGACTGAACTCTCATTAAACTAAAGATGAATTGTGGTGTGTCACAAAAACACACACACACAAAAATGCTAGATTAGAAGTAGATTTGTTAAATTAAACTTTTTATTTAAAACACGTTTTAATACAGATAATAACTGAACAGTTAATTTGTATTATTATTATTGTTGTTGTTGGGTGGGCATGATGACACTTAGTATAACTGGCTTTATAAAAAAGGCATATCAAATAAATTACATTTTAAGATTAAGTAATTAGGGTAGATGATGATTTAAAAGGAAGTTTCAAAATCGTAGAACACTGGCTAGTTAATTCTTCGAAGACAATCATGCGGTCAGTGGCTTAAGTCTTGGAAGGAAAACTTGAGTTTTATTTAAGTAAGATTTTTAAATTAATCCAAAACTTTTTAGCAGCGGTTCATAGAAAGGCTCCGAGTTTGTTTTAATTTTGTTTTTTT